AGAGAGAGAGAGAGAGAGAGAGAGAGAGAGAGAGAGAGAGAGAGAGAGAGAGAGAGAGATTGCATTGGTCAGTTGCCTACACCATGAATGCATCACCCATCATATTTGTTTTTGCGAGCGAAGCTGCAACAGGTCATCTTGTATTAAATTAATTTTTCTGGGCTATGGAGGGGTCATACGGGTAAGCTTGCTTGCTCGACCCCTCCAGCGTTGCCTCTGTATTGCACTGCAGCAGACTGCGGTGCGGCCCTATTCCCCTTCCGGGAAAAAAAAAAAAAAAAAAAAAGGAAGGAAGGGAGAAGGAAAAAAAAAACAAAAAAAAACAGGAGTTCAGAACATCCAATGCGGCAGTTCAGGCACACGGGGATATCGGCAGTGGCGCTCAACCACACTCAATGCGGCCAGCCTACGTGAGAGGCACAGTAAGAAGGGAGCTGCAAGAGCAAATAGAAGGGGTACCCTAAAGAAAGCCAAAGTAAAGAAGTCAAGAATGGGATATGACGGATCTATTATGCTCCGTCGTGCTTGCTATAGAGGTAAAACTGTTTCATTGTTGGAATGATTCGTCTCAAGTGTGCTTCATTGTCTACAATAGAAGCAAAGCTGCATCGATCTTGGATCTACTCATCTGAATGGAACAGGGCCTGTTGTGGTGAGAATCTACAACACACACCCACTCGACGCCATGCCCACAACCGTACGGAACGACGTTGTTCTCCCAATGCTCAGGAATCAGGAATAGTCTGTATCGAGTCCGCTGTTTGCAGCCATTCTGAGTACAAGTGCGGCTGATCAGCTTTCACTCTTGCATCTGGCCCCCCCACTCCTAATCCACCTCGCCGTGAATGCTCCCCCACTCCAAATGACAAGGATCCGCCCTCTGATCATTTAATGGAATCCCAACTGGAGATGATCTCCCTCCAGAACGCATTCAGAGCCGATGGAAATACAGCCAGAGGAGCCGATGGAATCCCAAATGACAGAGACTGTCAAGATTGGAATGGACCTCCCGCTGCCATGCAATCTGGAGAGTCAGATGATCTCATAGTGCTACAGCGAGGCCACTGTGCATGCTATTCCATTAATGTTGTCTCCCCTCACTTACAATCGCACCCCCCGCATGCTATCTTGGATTTTGCAGAGGATGACAGTACTGCAGCTGATTAGCAGTGTGTTCTGTGCCCAGAGGCCCAGAGGATGACAGTACTGCAGCTGGCGTGAACGCAGAAGTGTTGTTCGTTGCATTTATGGGAATACGCTGCAACTCCAGCCCGCTCCACAGAATTATGAGCATGACAAACGTTTGTGCATAAATCCTACATTGTCCGGGTCATGTCAATGCCGTTACCTTTGCGGATAATTCATGGACCCTGTTGGATAATGTCGGTAGGGTGCATTCTGTGGGAAATATTACCTCTTACTATTACCAAGTGGCATAATCCCACTCGCTCTGGCTGGGCAATCACAGTATGCGGATGTGCACTTGCAAGCTCTGCAGCCTCCGCATAACAATTTGGCTGACCCTCCCCCTTCCCGTGAGCATGGCCACGCAGCATCCCTTCACTATGTAGATCAGACAGATTCTGCCGTGGATACTGAGAGGGCCCCTCCAGAGGACGGTGCCTGTGCCATGCCATTGTGTCTCCACACAGGTAGAGTTCAGTTTGGCATGCACACAACATAATCTCTGCTCCCAACACTATGAAGAGATGGTCACTGCATGCCTTTGCCTCAAAAACTGTGGCCCGTTGTCTTGCACTCATCCACCTCATTCCTTCCATCCCTTATCGCTTGCCCGATATGCAGGTGTGCCCTTAAATGCCATGGTTAAATAACTGCGGATTTCAGTCTGCTTTCCTGCTGGCATGTCAGCAACATGCCATGTGTTGTTAATGGTTCCATGGAAGAGTCATGGGAAGTACCTGTCTCTACTGCGTGGACTATCCCCAATGCCATCACCCGCCAATGTTGGGCACCCTCTGGCCCACCCGTAAATCGGATCTCCTCCATCCTTGCCTGATGAGTATCATACACAGCAGCCCGAGGTGGAAAATAGACTCTCACATGAAACACGTACAGTGCACTGTACTGAAAGGTTATTGTCACCAGGGTGAGCTGTTGCAAACCAGATCTTGCAACGGCTAAACACCCTTACTGTGGATCAGGTCCCATCATCGCCTGCCCATAGAGAGGCAGCATTGTATCGGAAACCCAAGAGACCTGCTCAATGGCCCACTATTATGACCTACCACAGATCTGGGTGGCATGTGATTGGTATGCTTTGTGTCATGAGAATTATGAAGGTATAGCCCATGCAAATTTTTTGTTCACAAACATATGATGGCAGTCAACATAGTACTCATGTATATCACCCTGACATGGCATGTCCTATTTGTACTAATTTGTAGACAGGGTGTGGTATACATGACTTCCACACAGGCCTTCTCCGGTCCTGACATCAGGTAGGAGTGTAGGTTGCAGGTTTAGAGGGTACTTCCTTCTTTTTTTAGGGCCGTCTGCATCTTTTTCGTGGGTTATATTTGTCTCTTCTCAGTTCCCTGTCTATTCGGGTTTTTGTCTGGTCTGGACACGTCATTTAAGCAGTCCAGGTTGTTGACTGATTCAGATTTTTGTCCGCTCTGGACACGTCATTTCATCATTTCTGAGCTGATTCAGGCCCAGCAGCCATTTTTCAGGCCTGGCACGTTTGCTTTCTGCCTGGATCTCGTTTTGGTCCGGCCCATGTTTTCATCCGCTTCTGCGGACGCCTCTGCTGGCTCAGCAGAGGGGCCTAGACGTCCGGTTGGGACCTAGGCACACAGAGTTTAGGCCAGGATCAGGACCAGGATTTGGGCCTACATCCTTAGCCATTGATCGGCATTCCGATTGGACGATCCAGGATGCAGACTGATGCACCCTCCAGTAGGCCCAACACTATTTATAGCTGGGCGGCTCTCAGTTGAGGCATTTCGTATTTGGAGGTCGAGGTACTACGCTGCTGGAGCAGCGTTGGTTGAGTAAA